GGAAGCTACTTGAAACACTATCCATTTTCCCAAATTGATGTGAAGAATCTTATTGTTGTGTTTCTCAATGCTCCTTAATAGTACTGTGATTAATCCAATAAAGAACTTTGCTTTGAATACAGATTCTGAATTGGACTGTTGTTTGTTCTACAGCCCTGAAAATAATGCAACTGCATAGGTTATAATAGCGACAATAGTCATATCCTGTCAAGTTCGGGTGGCATTATTTCAAACCAGAAGGAATGAATTGCAATATTCAGTAGATGCGTGCATTGAAACTAAATTTTCCAATATTCAGTGTGAGTAATATAATGCCTAAGTGTAATGCTTCTATCTTTTATTACATCAGCATTTCTCAACCTGGGGGTCAGGACCCTTGGGGGTGTTGCGAGGGGGGGGTGTCAAATACCATCAGAAAGCACAATATTATCTGTTGGTCATGGGGTTCTGTGTGGAAAGTTTGGTCCAATTCTATCATTGGTGGGATACAGAATGCTCTTTGATTGTAGGTGAACTATAAATCCCAGCAACTACAACTCCCAATGTCAAGTTTATTTTCCCCAAACTCCACCAGTGTTCACATCTGGGCAGATTGAGTATTCGTGCCAAGTTTGGTCCAGATTCATCATCATTTGAGTCCAAAGTTCTCTCTGGATGTAGGAGAACCCTACAACTCCCAAACTCAAGGTCAAAGCCCACCAACCCCTTGGTCATGGGAGTTCTGTGTGCCAAGCTTGGTTCAATTCCATTGTTTGTAGAGTTTGATTGTAAGAGCTCCAGCAACTACAAATCCCAAATGACAAAATCAATACCCCTCCTCCCACAACCCCACCAGTATTCAAATTTGGGCATATCAATTATTTGTGCCAAATGTGGTCCAGTGAATACATATATTCACTGGATATCAGATACTTATATTACTTACATTTCATTACATATCAGATACTTACTGTACGATTCATAACAGTAGCAAAATTACAGTTATGAAGTAGTAACATACATCATTTTATGGTGGGGGGGGGGGGTCACCACAACATCAAGAACTGTATTAAGGGGTCACGGCATTAGGAAAGTTCTTCAAACAGTTTAAAATCCTGAATATTAAAATTCTGAATAATGTGACAAATTGTATACAGAATCACCAAGGGGCATAGAAATCCTGTTACACTTTATTAAATATCATATTACATGAAAAAAGTAAACACCTGACAAACCATTACATTTTCATAATACAGATACATTACGTGTTGAAAACAAACAATGTAACATTTAGGTAACTATACTGCTCACTAAGCTGTCATTCTAAAGTATGTGGCTATATGCATGTATACATATTTAATATTAACATTGTTTGAGTACCAAACCCCTGTTAAAAAGAGTACCTTTTGTGCCTCATATAAAGAACCCCAACAAGGGATGATTTTGTATGTAGCACTGCAAAAGTGCAGCTTTTCAGTGAGCAGGATTTCAGAATTCTTAGTGCTTCCTTTCAGTTTTTGCTTTTCAGAATATTGCAAGGCAACAACATATATATAACCTTCACATCTTTACGTCAAGTGAGAAGGTTATGGTTATGATCAACAATGGAACATATTTCTATTTATATGGTATCCATATTCTGTGCCAATATGTACAGTCTAAATGCCAGTTATCACATGAAGTTATAAAACCAGTAATAGTATTGGCTTGTATAGGACACAACTCCACAGCCTCCATACGTTTGTTCAGTTGTGTGTATGCACTGAAAAGATCACACTCAAATCTATTGCCTTCACTGCTGAAATGGAAGTTGTGTCCTTAGTTAAACCAGAATGAATAGGAAATGTATGTGCAAATCTTTTCCATGCATCAAAAGGAAGACTGGCTGCCAAGTCTCTTGCCACTGTGTGCTATTTCATGTGCATTTCATGTGCTATTTAACCACTCTATTCTTAAAATAAACTCAGGGATAATTTTTAGTGAAAATTACAATGGTATTACAAGGTCTACAAGTTTTGCATGTTTGATTGTGTTACTCTGAAAGAATCATCAAATGAAGCAAACTTCTGCCACCTTCTGATTGGTCATTCCTTTAGATTACATACATTTTTTTCAATCTATTGCTATACCTCAATTCCTAATCTGATCAGTTGTCTTAAGTTCTGCCAACTATTATCTGGGCATCTCCAAATGGACAACAAAATATGAGACTAGTCTAAAGCACTTCTAGCTTAGACCAGCCATGGATTCTGCCTTGGGATTCACACCACTCTGCTCCTGAACCAAGTCATCAAAAGGGAGTGAAGTCCTCATTATACAGTTACTGGGAAGTCACCCTTACTTTTTGTTTTTTGTTATCACCATAGCACCAGCCTCAGAGCTCCCGAATCGCTGAGGGCCCTTGCCAATGGGACTTGGAGAGGAAAAGAAGGGGGCACTGGTAGGACTTGGGAGAGAGAAAGGAAGAGTGGTGTTGGTTCATTTTAACATTGAATCAGAACCAGCCCCAATGTTTGCCCCCTTCCCAAAGTTTGAGGCTGTTCTGGAGCTCCAATGAACTTTACCTGATGTGAAGCACAAATACATTAAATGCCCCACGTTGGTGGCAAGATGGCTCTGTGCACCGTGTAAATGCCATAGAGCTGATTCTTGTACAACTTTGATTAAAGTGCCCATGTATATGCCCTTCCTCTTTACTGCAGGATTGAAGAATCTATGGCACTTGAGATATTGTAATCTCTCAGAAGAATGGAGATAGCACATAATATCTGGAAGGTAAGAATCCCACTTTTTACAGCTTCAGAACTGCCTCCTCTCTCCTCACAGATAATCCTAATAAAAAGTACCACATTTAAGGAAACTAAGAATATGTGGGAAACTGTTCCAAATCTACCGATCATAGATTCAGTCCCTGAAGTTATTTCTTTTTCCGTCATCTCCCAACTGCTTGCTTTTTGACTACTGTGATAGTTTGAACAGAAGCATGTGGAATGTTTTCACATAGATGAGTCCTGTTATCTTAAAGGAATGGTGTGGCACCCAGACATTGATGGGAAAGCAGTAACAACATTTACATGAATCAGGCCACTGTTGTTGATATATACATAAAAATTGAGGGTATAAATGGTTGCATTTCAAATATTGAGAAACAGAACAGGATTTGAACCAAGTCTTTTTGCTCATTGTAATCCTGAATGAATCAGGGAACCTTCAGGCATTACTTAATGTGGGGAAAAGAAGGAAGGCCAAATGGCAAATATGACTACTTAAAAAATTCAATTTCTCCATGTCCTTCTGCAGCCAAATACTTAAGGTTCAAAAAGATCTCACACAGCTGATGATGGAAATAGCTGCAAAATATTCAGAAATATCTAAGCTGTTGGTAGATACTCTAACATAAAGACTGAATAGGAATTGTTAGTAAAACCAGCTTCCCAACAACAAAATTAAAAGGTAAGAACTGCAAAGGATTCTTCTGGAATCTTAGCTTAAAGTAAAACAAAACCAAAACAAATCCACACCTCCAAATATAGGAGTTGTATGTAACATTCTTCTTTGCCTCACACATATTTTTGGAATAAGTTATAAGAAGGGATAAAAATAGATGCCGACTCTGGGATTTAAATCCACATCAGTTCTGCAGGAGAGATCTGGAGAAAGTGTTGCATTCTGATCACAGATCTTTCTTCACAAATGTGTGAATTTTAAATTCTCACACAGTATTTTATGCATGTAATCAATCCTCCATGGGAAATCATTCCAAAAACCCTTGTCATCTGGTGAGCTCTAAAGCTTCCATCATTTTTGTTTTGCTCTCTGCAGGAACCTACCTTTGCTATGCCAACCTCTTTGAATAATATAGGATTGTAGTAATGCTGGGAGAAAATGCAGAGTGATTTAGCCACCCCAGAAGCACGAGAAAGCAGGGACCAAGGGATACTGGTGATTTTCATTTGGGGCTGGGCTGACTAAGGAATCCTACTCTTAATGTAGAGGCCTATAATGTAAATAACTGCCATTCTAATTTGGCTGGTATGTGGAAGATTATAATAGGATTTCCTGGCCACCCAAGAGTCCCGGATAAAGACAAGCACTTGGAATGATATGTTTAGAGCAAAAATGAATTCTCTCACTTTAAAAAGGTGTTAAATATAAGATTATTAGCCAACCTATTCAATGGCAGCAATGCCTATTTTTTCTTTAAAGAAGAACGTTGAAAGCATGCACACTCAAACAGTCCTGAACTTTTAATTTATTGTGCACGGCAAGGCATTTAACTGATGGAAGGTAACACTTGAGTGAAATTACTCTCTACATAAAGCATCAGATACTTCAGTGAGGTGTAATTGCACACACACCCCTGCACTCCTTAAGCTCCCAAAGTAAGAGAATTACAGGATCTACCCCAATTTTCTTAATTGAAACTTTTGTCATATCCTCAAAGATTCTCTTATTTTGCTAACACTGGGACAAAAGAAAAGAAAAGAAAGAAAAGAAACCCTCACATCGAAATACCCAGCTGAATGTTTAACTTGAACTGAATATCACATACAAAATGTTGAGTATGAAATTTTGACTAAATTATAATTAAGGGATTTGTGCTATGTTCAAAACGATCAATTGACTATTATAACTATTTATGTCTACAGATAAGGGAAAATTCACTTAAGATTCTTAAGGTAAGCTTTAGAAATACTTCGGTGGTAGAATTATCTTTCAAAACAGCCATTATGATTTTGAAACCAAAACAAAATCACAGTGTGGTAAAAGCTACCATTGTTTCCTTATGCTAATAAAAGTTTTGAGTTATTGTTGTTTTGGGAAAAATCAACCAGATTCTAGCAACATGAAGTCATAGGTATAAGAAAGAATATAAAATGGGTAATATATTTCTCGTTGTTAACAAAGAATGAGAGCTGTAATCGATATGTTACAAAAATAGATGTGTTTAGGCAGGCACGGTACTACGGCAGCAGAGTAGTTCTGTTGTGAAAAAATTACTGAGAAATCCCACTGCAAGCTTGTTTTCCTTATTTATTTAGATTTGCTCCATTTCTCATCTCCTCAAATTAAAGTGTTATTGAACATGTTAAGGATGGTATGTGACAAGTAAATGCAGCCACAGCCCTTAAGATTTCCATAATTTCCCCCCTTCCGATAAGGATAGATATTTCTTTTTCATTCACAGTTGCTTGAAAAATCTTGAAAAATGTCAACAGTTCTTAAGGAAAGGCCCGTGTGAAGATGCAATGGCACATTTTCCAATCATATCTGAACATGCTAGAAAAATAACTGGAAAAATGCTTTGGTTTGGAAGAGCAAATATTTGGATGGCTATTCAAAACTAGTTCTCTCTCTCTCTCTCTCTCTCTCTCTCAAAATGGCTCATTCAGCAACTAAAGTTTCTACACCATAGTGCTTTTCCTAATGTAAACTCATTTCTCCTTCATGATCTCTATTTTCCTTCTTAGAAGAAAGCTGTTGAACTAAACTACAGGAAAAAGTAGAAATGGAATCACAAAACAGCACAAAAAACCCAACCCTCTTTTTCTAAAAAGATTCTAGAATATTTGAAGTGCTATATATATTTCATCACAAGATATTTGTTTTGAAATCTGCCAAATCATACAACATTGGCAGAGTATCCAAATTGAGATTTTCTAACCAAGTTGCACTTATTGCCATGGAACCGGATATATCCTAAAAATTATAAATGGGCATTGTTTCTTGCAAGATGCTAGCTGTATCACAACCAAATTGCCAGCTTCACTCTAACTCAAAATATACAGTACTTCTGACAAACTGAGAAATGTGTGGAACCTCTCAATGAACACACAATACTGTTTTATGCCATGCCTGGCTTTGATCTACAAACATTACTGAGAACGTATGAACACCAAACATGTTGTCTTAATGGACTTAAGACATTGCTGGTAAAAACTAAGCATAAAAATCTTCACAAGGGAGTTGTGCTGTAGTGGGAAAACTAAACAAAATGAACACAAAAGGCTGAAAGTAAGAACATGCCACATCAGTAAGCAAAAAGCCCAATTTTCACAGAGGTCTCCAAACTCACAAAGTATCAAAATGCGTGCAAAGTATCAAATAAACAAAGAGGGGAAAGGGAACAAGATTTTGCCAGCATCATTTTTCTTGGGACTGAAATCCACCACTGAGAAAGGAAACAGCCATGGTCTTCTTAGTGTTGGCTCTCTCATTAGATCATGTTTCTCTCCTCTAGCCTGGTGATCTTGATTTCTATAAGAAAACAATATATGTAAAGGTTAGAATCAGAAATGCTCCAGAATGGTAGCAGAACATCATTCTTATTCTTTAGATTCATTCTAACCAAAGGAAGCAAACCGAAAATACACCTATAGCCATAAAAAAAGATATCAATAGCAGACTCCAGTTTTGCAAGCTCCTTTCCAAGCCCTAAGTTCCATTCCATGTATTTCTGGTGGAAATAACAACCTTCTCCAAGACTTCTGTAGTAATGTTTATCTGAGATCCTGTTGCTTACTGTTTCCTGTATGTATGTATGTTCTGGTATGCAGCTTCCTTTGCTCTATGGGTCCTGAGAAGTTATAAAAGGGGCTGCAGACCACACAATCATTTCAGATAGCAGGCAGACCACATGATCACTACAGACTGCTGCATACCTAAGAACACACACTTGCTTGCTGTTTTGCTATAAGAGACGTCCTGGCTGGATAGCACAGAGAATTATCTCAAACGTATCTGAAACTGGACTAATAAGTTTTGTACCTGTGTATGTTGAACACATGAAGTTTGTGTCAGTAAACCAAATATGTTATTTTTATCAATGTCTACTTCTTTTTTGTCTCTTGAGTGCATGATATAAAACAAGTTGTTTTACGGGAGTGTGTGTGTGTGTTTATATATATATGTGTATGTGTGTATGTATGTGTGTGTGTGTATATATATATACACACACACACACACACACACACATATTCATTCGGGCACTGAAAAACACTTCTAAAGCCCAGTAGGCCGGGATGCCTTGTATTCATATATGGTTTTACTGTATGTATGGGCAAGTGTGTATGTTTTTGTATGTTTTGCATGTTTTGATATGGTCAAAATTGACTAATCAATAAAGAATTGTTGCTGTTGTTACAGTTTGTGAAGGCCACTTCTAAAACTCTGCTGTTTTATGCACTGTTTTTATGATTGATTGATTGATTGATTGATTGATTTACTTTATTTCTATACCGCTTTTCTCAGCCCTTAGGCGACTCAAAGCGGTTTACACAACAATGCAAAATATCACAAAACAGTATAATGCAATTAAAACAGATTATAGCAACAACAATTAACAACAGTATAACAATCATAACGCCTCAACAATAAAATCAGAATCCACTCTCATTATCCATTGTTCCGTATTCCTATGTTCAATTTCACTGTTTAGTCAAACGCTTGTTTGAATAGCCAGATCAGATTTTCCTAACAGATCAGAGATAACAAGTTATTCAGTCTAACAACAGAAACCATTGCCTTGCATAATAATATCTGGTTATATTACCATAAGAAAAGATTCTACTCTAAATAGTTTTTTGCTCTTATCTGAAAGGCCATGTTTTTCTTTAAAAAGTTATGATCTCCAAAAGGTGTTTGCCAAAAGGTTATGAATGCAATTTTTCAAAAATTTCAGTGCTGCCGCAGTCTCGAAAATGAGAGGCATGTCCCCCATTTTTAAAGAACAGCAATTCATATCATGGCATCTTGTAGTTTAAGAATTTGTGCTTTGACAATTTGCAGAGGTGGCTATGTGTACCATTTTAACATTCTTAAATAAATTCTTGCCCTTAGTAATTTATGATTAAATATGAGCATATATATTTCTGTTCTGCTTGGCACAATTCTTACATGCTTTCATTGAAGTGTTTTCAAAGATGTCCTCATCAATATTTCCTGCTTATGGTTTGTTTACTAGGGCCATGGCATTCTTGCATGTTATGGTCCTAGTAAATGGTAAGCAACATCATGAATTCCCAGTAGCAATGTGTGTAAAATTCAATATTATGCATATTCTGCAATCCATATCTCAATTTTGAAAATAAACCTTATATTTGATTATTAATGCAAATTCAAAAATGTTCTCCAAGACAAGCATTTTAAATATGAGAACTTGTTGAGCTTTTTCAAGTAGCAAGTTCTTTCAAAAGAAAAGGCTTTGATAATACTTATGGACAATAGTGTTTAGCTCAAATGGTGTCCAACATAGAAAATTTGAATGATGATCCTTCTGTAGATTTTCAGTCACAATTAAGATCAGAAGCAAAATGGTTCTTTCTATTTCCAGCAAAAGATGCCAATTCTCATGTCAATAGACACATTTCCATCTCATCTTAAGCCCAGATTTAAACCTGCCTGATTCAGCACTGGATATGGAGTGAGGTGTATGTGTCATTACAGAAATAAGGTCAGGCTAGAGAAAAGCATTTTCCTTGTCCAAAGAATGGTGAAGTTGAATAAAGTTATTATTTCATGAATATTTGTCCCTATGAATTTTTTTTAAATATTAAGAAACACTTGCTTCTTTTTGCACATGCAATGGCTCCTCAAGTGGAGTTTACCTGGACACATCTTCTCCAAAACAAGTGAATTAAGGTAGCAGGTTGAACACACCCAAGGCTCAATGCATTTTACAATGCAGCTGGCTTACTACCATTCCTGGATCCCCAATCAAATTTTAATTCCTTCTCTCCTTCTTTAAGTAAAGTGATAACAAGACGATGCCATATATCTCACCATGTAACTTGCCCTTTCCAGTTATATTCTGTTATGCAGAAATACTGTTTAAAATGCACTGGACAATGGATCCTTCCTGACTTGCGTATTAGTCAAGTCATCTTTTTTGAAACCATTCAAATCAATCCTATTTTTTAAAAATACCCAACCACACGTGGTTCTGGTGAACACCTTCATGCAGGTCTATTGCTCTACATGTTAATGAACTGGATGGCCAATACCCATAATGCAACTTCATGCTGACCCACATGGCCTATGAACCAGATTTCTTTCCTTTTTAAAAAAATTCAATTTTCTTAAAACCAACTGTCAGCATCATGTGATGGAAGAGATGAAAAATGAAAATGAGCAATCCTGCTGTGCAGGTGAGTGACCTGTGGGAGACAGCTCTGCCTGGTAGGATTTCTACACGTACCATCAGACACAGACCAATTGATTAGATCATCTTATTCTCGCCACCAACCAGGCTCAAGAGACTAATTAGAGAGAGTACTGCCTGCGCAGGCACCCCATTGACACCTAATTTGCTCAGCCAAAGCCTTTGGGGAGAATGTATTATCTCTGCAGCTGCACTTCATGCATTTCTGATTTGAGGCAAAGGCAAGAAGCACTTCATCACGCTTTTGAGCAAACTGAATGTAGGAAACTTTAAGTGCTAAATACAAGCAGACACAAATTAAACCTTGCCAGCCTCTCATAAATTCCACCTCCTCCCCTCCCCCTTATGAATATGCAAATTGATTTATATCAATAGCTTTCCATCAGTGGTGCATATATGAACACACACACTTATATAACAAGATTGAAAATAAATGTACTAAATTAAAAAAATTACCTCATAAAATACATTGTTTCTTGGTTTTAGTTTTAAGAAGTAAATGGTGTTATACTTAATAAGACAAGGGGTAGTAGCTCAACTATTCAATTTCCCCTGAGCAGGTGCCTATTAACTATATTCTTCTTTATAGCTGTAGTTATGTTACAACTGAGGTCAACTTCATTGACATATTCCAGATGGCAATACCCATTCTAGCTGGAATGAATCTAGAAAGCTTCTGTTACCATGCTAAATCATGTACGCATTTTACTACACATCATTCTTTAATAACAACAACAACAACAACAACTTTATTCTTATATCCCGTCACCATCTCCCCAAAGCGACTTGGAGCGGCTTACAGATGGCACAAAGTGCCTAAAAACAAACATAAAAGTGAACACAATATAAAATAACAATAAAATAAGACACATGCATATATCAAAACATCATTTCAGACTCAATCAAGCTGCAATCCTCTAACAGTGGCGGTAAATTACTGGCACCATGGCCAGGCTGTAAACATTGGAATAAATTAAGTGCCAGCTGCATTAATGGAGAAAGAGCATGGGATAAAGTGCAGGATGTGTGACTACTACATAGGACAACTAGGGACTAAATATTCTCAAAGACTTGATTGAAGAGCCATGTCTTCAAATCACTACAAAAGGAGGACAGTGTGGGGGCCTGTCTAATCTCCTTGGGGAGGGAGTTCCAAAACTGGGGTGGTCACTACCGGGAAAGCCCTCTCCCTTGTCCTCACCAACCACGCTTGTGACAGTAGGGGGACCAAGAGGAGGGCCTCCCAGGAAGATCTTAGAACCTGTGTCGGTTCATAGGGGGGATGCGGTCATAAAGATAGGCAGGACCCAAGCTGTTTAGGGGTTTATAGGTGATAACTAGCACTGAATTGGGACCTGAAACTTATTGACAGCCAATGGAGCTGCTTCAGTATGGGCATCGTGGGCTCCCTATAGCTGGCTCCAGTTAGTAACCTGGCTGCAGAACTTTGAACCAACTGCAGTTTCCGAGCCGTCTTCAAAGGCAGCCCCACATAGAATGCATTACAGTGGATTAATAATGGTGACAGTTCAACTGGCATTTAATTTTCCTGTTTTCTCAAATTCTTCCTATTCCTAACATCAACTAGAGATCTGTCATCAGTTCTTGTGAAAAAAAATTATGAAGGGATCAATGAATAGGTCTGAATATAAGCCTCAAATGAGTAATAATTGAAACAAAGTGTATTTTTACAACATTGTGTTTATTAGAAAACTCTTATTATTTTATATAAGCAGGCAAGGAATAGATGATTTTCTTGACTTTCCACTTAATAAGGAGCACAACTGAACAATAATTTTAGTTCCAAGAACAGGGGAGGAGGGATGGGTTGGAAGAAAAAGCATTCCTGCAGCTGTGTGGGTATCAAAAGGGAGCCCTATTAGGGAACTCTGCTGAGATGCAAGCCTCTACACAGTTTACTAAAGAGGCCTAACACCAAATCATCTAGTTTGGTTCTGCACAGTTGGGAACTTTCTGAATTGCTCCTGGCGATGATAAGAATATAGCTACCTATACAATATTCTTCGGCACATTGGGTATTGCTGGACTATAATTTACAGCATTTGCCAGAACTGGCTTTGCTGGCTAGGACTGTCGA